AAAAAAAAGTCAAGACAGAATGGTCAGGGCACAAAGAAAAAACCAAAGACGTATGAAGTGGAGTGGGATTAAAAAGCTGAAATCCCACAACTTAAGGTTTGCTAGACGCGGTCAATTTTTTCTGTCTTGGCATATTTATGCTTCTAAGAGAGAAGAGAACCTGCATTGTATCTAGTCAGCTATTATAACCAATTCAGTGCTGTACACACTAGTTCCTAATTTTCATCTTTGGAAGTATTTTTACATCTCACATACATCTCATTCTCCATCTACATTTCCTCACCATTGTATTTTTCTCCCATCCATTCATACTCTTGTGGCCCTGATTAAGGATAGACTAAGTTCCTTTGAGAGTATATCCTCCAGCTTTTGGCTGCAACATATCATAGAATAGATTTCACAATGAAACATCTGCTAAATTTTAATTAGGTTCTTTAACACATACCCTTCTAGCCAAACACACTATAAAATTTTGCATTTGATGGTTTATGTCCTGATTCACGATTAATTTTGCAAACCAGAAGTACAAATAAAGAAAATATTCCAAACTAAAACATTTCATATTACAGTTACCTCACCTTATTATGCCTCTCCTAACTCTAAGCATATGATCCACTCCTTCTGTCAGCCACCAGAAATGAGCAGAGCTTGAAGCCAAGCTACCCTTTGTTATGGCGGAGTTATTTTTCTCACTTCATCAATAGGAATGTGACCCATCAGTCAAGGACTGGCGAATTATCCTGTGTGACAGTTACAAATGCCTTCACTCCCCAGGATTTTTTCCCCCAAAATGATCTGTTCTGATTATGGTGCTCTTTCACCACCCCAAGTAGTTTGGTGTTAAGGAAAAGTCGTAACAAACTTACTGCTCATTGCTGCCTCGTACTCAGAAAGGATGCCAGAGCCTCCCAAAGCAGATACTGACCTTCCTCCTGAGTCGTACAGCGTTTGTGAGCTCCCCGTTGTGCGCCACAGCAATCTTCCCATGAAGAGTTTCTACAACGAAGGGCTGGCAGTTCTGCAGCTCAGAAATTCCCGAGGTGGAGTACCTTGTGTGCCCAATACCCAGGTTTGAAACGTACAGCTTCTTCAGGCTGTCTGCATTGAAGACGTGATTTATAAGACCCATTCCCTTTGGGAGGAAAAAAAAAGAGTTCAAACAAAACTTTTGCCAGGTTTTCTTTTTCTGGCGACTTCCTCATTTCTCCTTGTGTTTGGTTTTGGTACAGCATTAATGCAAGCAGCTTTAAAAGAAAGGCAAATAACCCAAAAGACATGGCAAAGGAAGAAGCTTGGTAGGTGTCACAGTGATATATCAGATACCATGACTCCTGTTTTTAAATAAAGCAATATACATTTTTGTGCTGAGGATTTTCATGAAACAATCTATTCCCTGACTAAAATTACATCTTCTGAAAAAGCACTACCAAAGTGTTGTGTTGTTTAAAAACACCAGGAAAAAAGACTGCCAGGAGACAGGCAAAGTTTTCATATAGCCAGGTTGCCTCCTAGCTAAAGCAGAAATGCATCAAAACCAGTCAGCCATCAAGAGCATTTTTAGCAGCAAGAATAGTCTGAAAAAACTGCAGGGAGAGTAGAACTTAAGACTGGATTGCAGGACTTCCTACAAACTCCTGCTTCTGCTGCTGCATGTGGAAAATATTTACATTGTTCTACGCTTCAGTTTCCCTATCATGCATGGCAATTGATATTCCACACGATAACACTCCTCTAGGATCTTTAGATACATGGGAGAGGTCTGAAGCTGTGACTGGTTCATCACCTGTGCTGTAGGTACAAGAAGAAGAGAGTGGGATGGGGCAGGAAAGATGGAAATTGGTTGAATGGGTTTCAGAGCTAAATCAAAAAAGCATCAAGAAAGCTCATCTTTAGGGTATTTTCTGCTGTGACTGCTATATAGTCAGAATACCAAGAGGCTGTGGTTGCACATGTGGTTTTAGGATACTTACTGTCATGTTAAAAAGTTACTGCCTCAAACTGTTGATATAGGTTTGCTTTAATGGTTCAGCATATGCCAAATCAATTGTTATCTGTTGTCTCACAGATGACATAAAGGTGGTCGAGAGTCTGTGTTCTGTGCTCATATATGTACAGAGATGCAACCATGCATTCTTATTTCACTTAGGCCAACTTTACCCTGACAGGAGATCTAACAGTTCACAGGTCCAGTGTTAATGAATGTGGCCACATTAAGCACTGCAATAGCTTAAACAAGCAATGTTGTTTTAAACCAGATTTCATTACACAAGTACATGATCTTTTAATTGCAGTTTGAAATATTCCTCAGATTTAGACTGCGCTGGTATGGGATAGCAAATGTGAATTATACCAGTATGAAAAATTCTCAATGAAGATAATCTTATTTCTGTATTTTACAAGGCCTTATACATGCCAGAACATGATAATGGTCTGATAAACAGCTGCTTTAATACAGTATTCTGCATATTCAAATGTGAAACAATCAAACAGTCTTTCTCCTACTGGCATCACTATGTCTATACAAGAGATTTAAGTTTTTCCACATCCTGGACTAATACAGCTATGACAATAATGTTTTGTTATACAAATCTATCTGAAGGGCTCTGACAGACAAATCTGGACAAATTTTTCAGGGAGATTTTAAAACACGGTCAACGGCTGGTAACAATCAGAAGGGAACACATACCCATGCCTTATGTGTTCCAGTTCATACTCTATTAATAGAGTTATTGCCTTAAACTGTTGAAAAAGGTCAATCAGTGCAGTGAGAAGCAGGGACCTTTTCCATTCTGTTGTCTCTGCTGTGAAGAAGAATCAGTTGCGGTTTGGACTACAAACAGATGACACTTCTATGGACAGGTTTACGAGTCAGAGTCCTACATACAGGTTCACCAGTGTAACAGACACAAATGTTTGTTACATTAGTACCACTTCCAGGATTAAATTAGTATTATAAATTGTACTCCACATGCTCTTTATTGCACTGTTGTTATTACAGTTTTGAAAAGTGTTGTAGCTGAGAAATGTATTTCAAGGATAAAAGAAATCATCATGCTTTGCAATTCTTAAAATATCAAAGCAGGTATGATAAGATAGTCAATTAAATTCTTAGCATGACAATTAAGTATTGCAGCTCAATAACATGGGAACACTACAAATTGTTATCTCACCTGCTGGAAGTTCATTCTGAGAAGCACTTTTTACTATTGAGATTTATAGAGCAGCCCACTTTAAAGGAAGCTGGAATTTCTGTAAACCTTAAGGAAAGCTGAAACCCAAGCAGGACCAGTAATGAAGAACAGATAATACGATGCTGAAGTTGAGAAAAGCTGCATTTAAAAGCATTTGTATGTGTGTGTGTGAGTCAGGCTGTAAGTAACAGGAAGAGGGAAATGCCTGAAGAGGCAACAAACTCTTGAATGCTTGAAGAGACAAGATTTTGTGTGGGGCATTACGCAGGCATGCATAGATATACATGCTGCTGCATGGACTGATTTGAACAGTTTAATTAATCTTCCTCAGAGACCTCTCAACATGAAGACAAACTGCTTTCTGATTGCGGTCAGAGAACACACTTGCATCAAGCATTGCCCTATGGTTACTTTGCTGATGTAGTTTCATTTCCAGTCCTCTGCTCTTCCAGGATGGAATGATTATGCTGATGGCTGACAATTATTTTTTTCCTGATCACTATTCAATACAGAATGAGCAGAAGTATCCCCAGAGCAAGCAGGTATTCTCCTGGCATAATACCTTCCAGTCTTATGGCAATTTCACGTCTTTTAACATCCCCTGGGTTTCTCTCAGCTCGACAAAGACTGTGACATTCTCAAGCTTCCATTCAATCTTTTATTCTGTTTATTTTTACCTATGGGTAAAGTAGCTGCCACTTCCTTGAGTCTCACTAACACAAAAACTAGTCACCCAGTTGCTTGTGCATAGCCTGTAACTGTATTTCTTTTCTCTTAATCTCAAGTTGCATCGGTGCTCTTCCAAATCTCCTAAGTCACCTGAGGTGCGGGGGGACTTTGGCAAGTAGTTTTTGTGACATCAGTAGCTTGATCTGGATACTTCTGTGTGTCTGCCACTGTGAGCATGGATAACACCCAGCAGAATAATGTTGGCATAACTGTTTTAAACGTGCATGTAAGACAGAAATTGCACAATTAACAATTAGATACCATCACTGACAAAATCTAAACAGTCCATCAAAATATGTTACTTTTCCTCTAATTATTCATTTTCCTAGCTGAAACAAACTTCCATGCATCTCCATTAGGCATCTACAAAACATGCGTTCACATTTTACCTTGTGTACTTTGAATGCCTGGGATGACTCTCCATCACTTGTCACAATTCCAGCACTCTCCTGGCCCCTGTGAACAAAATATAATTAACATAAATGCTTAGAATATGAAATGCTTTAACATACAATGGATCAGTGAGCTTTCATCTACTCTTTACAACATGAAATTTTAATGTAAGCTTGTTTGTTGTTTTATTTTGCAGGCTTGTAATCACAACTGGTTTCTTGCCCATATTATGCTTTATTTCAAAACAGTCACATAAAGTTTGTGCCTAAGCCACTAAATTCAGTGGGAATCTTTCCACTAATAAGCACTGGCTCAGGCTCTTACTGCAGTCCTCTTTCAGCGTGGGCATAAGCAGATGCTTAATCTGAAAAGCCAGTTTGCAGTGATAGTCTAGGCTCTAGTGGTAGACTCTATAGCACTACTCTGTTTCTTCTTTGGTTTGGGGAGAGGTGTTAAGAAATTGATGTTTTCACATAAGAAAATGCATTGTCTCTGCCGGATGACCTAGGGAGAGGCTTTTGTATTCTTGCACTTAAGCAGGCAAGCTAGCATTTCCACCTCCAGAAGGTACATGGACCCTCCAATAAAAGCATTCGAGCACCACAGCTTCTGCACTCAAGCAGAACAAGCCTGGTGTACAGCATCACTGAAAAGGGAAATAATTTCTCACAGCAGACCAGCCTCAGGCTGACAGCTGTGCTTTGCTGAGCACAAGAGCTGTATCAGCTGATACGGCAGGGTCGTTCCCAGCTCTCCCCAGCCCTGCCCACCGGCTCGGTGCCCCTGGGCACAGGCCCAGCCCCGGGCAGGCAGCAGGGGACAGCAAGTGGGGGTAGGTTCCCTGGTGCTGCCTGGTCAGAGGCAGGCAGAACACTGCACAGCTGCCTGCAGTTTGTAATTCAGTCCTTACAATGACTGAAAAGGAAAGATGTTTTTCTAAAATAAGGAAACAGAATATTTTTAGAATATTAGAAGAAGAGGCTATTTGTGCATTAGACTGGTTTAACTCAACTGAAGTAAATGGAATTATTTTGTATGAGCAACGATAGAATTGGGCACAAAAAAAATCTACAGAATAGATTCTAATCTACAACTGACTGTGCCCATTACAAATTTTCTCCAATTCCTAAAATCCCATTATTGGTCACTAGCCCCACTTGCATGTAAAGCAAAATCTGAAAGAACATTTACTTATAGAAAACCAAACTAAACAAACTTCATACATATCTGAACAAATTTACCCCATTATTGACACAATCTTCAAGAGAAATATCTGAGGTGTGGACATTCCCATTTATTTTAACTCAGGAAGATGTCCCGTCTATCAATAAAAAGACTGGTAGTAAAACTTAAAAGGTTGATATACTGCATTCAACAACTTTTAATTCAAATGTTAGTATTACAGGCAATTTGCATTTAAATACCGCTACTGTCCCTTTAAGCATCAACAAAATCAATAGTGAGAAACAGCAAAGCAAACATCCTGAAAGGCCTTTACAAGTCGTTGGATTACACCTTTTTTGTAGCACTAATGAAAAGAAAAGGAAGCTCAATTCGATTACCAAAACTGTTACACAATGTTACCAATTCAGTGAGAATTTTGAGTACGCAAGTTTTTTATTAAAACATCACTCATAACCAATGTATACTAGAGTTTAAGATGTGTATATATGACCACCAATTCAAAACCAAACACTAGCAGGACGATCCTAGCCACATTAGTACCATACAAACGACAGCAAACTTGCCACTTGCGTGGAAGGCTCAGCCCCCGGGGCCAGCAGAAGCTGCCGCAACGCCCACCCAGCCAAGGGCACCACAACAGGGTTTGTGTGTTAGGTGCTTGCTCTTTTTTTTTTTTTTAAAGGACAAGACAGTGTGAGTCTCTTTTCTCTCTCGTTACACCATAGTGCTCATACCGAAGCCTTTTTCGCACGGGAGGGTTAAAGCCCCCCTCCTGGGCTGGTCTCCGCCTGGCATGAGGCCGCCCCCCCCGGTCCCGCTCCCGCCCCAGCTGCTTTATTCGCCGGCCCCTAACGCCGAGCCCGCTTATTTGGCAGTTTCTCAAGTTACTCCCCTCAGGCAGCTTGAGCCAGTAAAACTAGATCCTTTCATCTCGGCGGAGCTTACTGACAACCAGCCGTCTGGTTTCCTAGGAAACAAAATCTTGGCTAGAAATAGTGAATCATTTCCAGGTCACTTTCAACATGGAGAGTGGAGCAGGGAAGCACTGGACGGAGGAGGAGGTTAAAGCCTTGTTAAGCGTCTGGTCAGAAAAAAATATCAGAAAGCAACTCCACGGCACCCTGAGGAATAAAGGAATATTTATCTACATTGCTAAAAGGTTGCAGGAGTTAGGAGTTTGCAGGGATTGGAAACAGTGCCGTGCAAAGTACAAAAATCTGAAGTACGAATACAGAACGGTTAAATATGCCCACAACTCTGGGGATGTCACTAAAACCATGAAGTTTTTCCATGATCTGGATGCCATATTGCGATATGAACCTGTCACACAATTAGCAGCAGAAGAAAACGGCAGGTGTTCTGCGACTGAGACGCAGCTGAACACAAGCCCCACAGCAGAGAGCACGCAAGGTAAAAAACTATTTTTGCTTCTATTTTTCTCTCTTTGCTTAAAAACCAAAGGGAACAAGACCAAAGCCCGAGTTTGCTCGAGCCAAAGCGGAGGTTGTGCAGCCCCGACAGCACTGGTAGAACTGACTTGATGCACTCCTCGCGCAGAGGAATAAAATGTTAGCACCCACCAGTGTCGAAGTCTGTAAATACAGTGTAATTCTAGAAAAATTATGCTAACTGCTTGTACTGCAGCCTCGGCAAGTACTCGCTGGTGTCAAGGCTCCTGCACTGGGTTGAAATGTTAAGAAAAACTGTTTGCTTTCCCTTTGACATTAATTTGCAGTACTTTGGAAACAGGTTGTGTAGAGCTCCAGTTCAGATGTGAACTTAAAGAAAGATAGAAGTAAAGGTTGAATCTGTCATGATTTAAAAAAGATCACTGTTTGTGTTTCAAGTGAAATTTACGATTTTTATTCTTATTTCTCTGTAACTGAAAATTTAGGTGTGATGACTAAAGATACATTAAATTATTTTGTAAGCAATTCAACTTAAATATTTCAGAAACAGAGGTATGTTTAATAACTTCTCATTAAAATTGTAATGTAGCGAGGAAAGTAAAAATCAATACGTTTATCAGACTATTTTGAGCCAAACCAAATGAATACAACTGCTTTTATTCTAAAGGAATTTTTACCAAATTATTTGTATCTCTGGTTTTATTCAGCCCTCTCTACATATGCATTTAAGCTGTGCTTAACATTTCATTGGGGTCAATCTGCTATTTGACATCACTCAAATCTCCTTGTCACATCCTAAATGTCCCTGAAGCATAAGCCCCAATAATAGTTATAAGTAGCAAAATAAGATGGATAAAAAGAGAAACGCAAATCTTAGCCATTTGTTCCCACAGTATGTGGCAATTTACATTAATTAAGATTGTGAACCTTTTTTAAGAAAACAAAAATCTCAACATTAGTATCAGGGGAGATTGCCAAAGGCACAAAAAGGAGCTGGACATACAGCTTGCCCTTGTACCCTTCCATGTTTCCCTCCACAATGCTCTCCTCTTTTACAGCTCTGAGGAAAAGAGATTGCCATTTTTCTTGTCATCGTTTACCTTAACAAAAAGCTTGACCTTAATTTGTTACCACTAGCAGAAAGCCTCTAATCTGTCAAAATCACTTTAAATTAAAATGGCAGTTTTATAATATTTTAACATGGGTTCTCTGCGCTGTGTATTGCAATCCATTTTTATTTTTAAACTTGCAGAACTAAGGCTAATATAAGCTGTTACAGTTCTGAGGACTACATGAAACTAAGATAGTGTCCTTCGTCTGAGGATCTGCCCTTAGACTACCCTCTGTGTTTTGATGTAGTTTGCACCATTAATCCTAATTCTCATCTGCCTTAGACCTCTAGCAAGATTAAATCAAAAAAGGTTAATTTTGGTTGTGGACTTCAAACTGGAAAAATTAAAAAAATACCCCTGGGTGAGACACACCTCATTTTGAAGCATTAGGACAGTCTGGTTTTAAAGGTAATATAATTAAATATAACTCTTAAATGCACAAGTATTTCTTTTACTCTCTTAAATAAATAAACCAAACCAGTTTTATGGATAAATAGAAATTAAATGCAACTAACTGCAATAACGCAACACTAACGGTAAGAACTTACCGTTAGTTAAGAACTTACCGAATGCAAAGATTCTCACAACAGCCATCATTCAGCCACAAAGAAAACCCACTAAGATAAAAATGTGTCCTGTAGCTATGCAGAGTGCATACATCCATAACAAGGGGCAGAGGATATCAACTTTCTCCATTTAAGAACACAAGCAAGTAACGCTGTACGTGAGGCCCAGGCCTTTTCTGACTGCGGTCAGAGCTGCAGTGTCTGCGCAGGGGCCCAGCTCAGCACTCCACAGGGCTAAAATGGCATCTGTGGCTCTGCAGGCAATGCCCACAAGTTCTTTTGTGGGGGCAGATCTGACGGTGTCGTGTCCCACAGAAGGACACACGATTCCCCACACAGGCAAAGGCGGCCCCCAGCAGCTAACCTGGCTGGTCCCCATGGCCTGTGGGAGGAACTGCTTTAATGTGGGAATAGTATCCTCCATAAGGCAAACTGCCCAAAGCACATCTCTGTCCCTGCAGTCCCCTCTTGGGCTTCTCCCTTTCAACCCCAGTGTTTCAGGAGAAGAGGAGAAGATGGACCCTCCCCTCTTCAAAAAGAGGCCAAGAAGCCTTATTTTGATAGAGCTAGAGGAACCAGGCTAGACTTGGGTAGCAAGAACAAAATGCTACCAATAAACTCAAACCTGGGCCAAGTAATACTGTCCACCATGCATGCCATACTTATTTTAAAAACTTAGTAGCTATACTAATATGTTTTGTTGAAAAAGCATGACAAGGGAGAAGGCATGCTCCCTAGGAAATTAGTCTTTTTACCACTCTGCTTAGCCTCAGTCTAAATACTCATATCCATCCTTAATGTAGAGCTACAAAGCACATCTTTTTGTTTGATTTGCTTGATTATCTCAACTACTGGGAGACTGCTAGGGAGGCGGAGAAAAGTGAAGGAAGTTAAAAAGAGACTACTTTTATGGGAGTGAATGGTATTTCTCTAAGTGTTTCCCCAGGCTTTTTATTCATATCTTGTAAAATACTTTTTTCTTTTGAAAATGTAATTGAAGAAATTAATACTGAAAAACACAAATCTGAGAGACAAGTGTCTGTGACACACTTGGTAGCAACACACACACCAATTCCCATCTCGTTCATGGAAAGATGGCACTTTTTGCATAAGCACATAGAGCAGTGCAAGCCAGAGATCTCCTTGTTATCCTCCCAAAATACATGTTTTGAGAGGCAAACACAGAGTTGTAGCTTAAATAATAATTTTAAAAGATAGAACTCAACATGTTCACTTCTTTTAAAATTTAGTTTGTATATTATCCCAGTAACCAGCATTCAAGAAAATCCATGCAGGGTGATGGTGCACTATGAAAAATGGTACCATTCATTAGAGCTCAAATGAATGCCCTTCCCATTTTGTTAAACAGTTTTGATTGTTTCAAGTTAAATAAAGTATTAATAAATTGAGGACATGACTTACAAAAGCAAAGCTCACCTAGTAATTAATGTTAAATTACTCGCTCTTTTATATTTCTCTCTTTATGTTTAAATATTAACACATTGGCCACTTTCCTTGTCTTTCACTTTACCACAGCAAATACAGAAAAATAGTCAAGTCTGAGCAGAAATGCATCAGCAATGCCAGTATTACCATATGTACAAAACTCAAACAGCTAGTAGAAATGGAAAAAGATCTTTCAGAAGTGCTGAGTTGAAAATGCCACTCTATACATAGTTTTCCATGTCTGGATTTTTGTGTTAAACATATCATTGACAAGTATCTTCTGTACCTTTAAAAAAAAAAAAAAGTGTGCAGTACTCTTATTGAGTAACTTTTTTGCTCATCAGATGTTTCCCCTCATCAGATATTCTAACATCTTTTTGTGTTAACTGTTCTTGTTTACTTAACAAATTTTTAATATTACAATGTAATGAAACTTGCTTATCCTAGTACCCGTGGCACACTCTGCAGCCTTCCAAAAGAGACTTTATTTCCCCTCTCTGTAGTTTGGTTTGCAGCTCTTAAGCAGATAAATCACCAGGTCTGGTGCTGGAGGTGGAGGCATAAGCACACCTTTGTCTTGTCAGCCGGGCCACAGCGAGCGGCAGCTCCTGGCAGAGAAGCAAGGCGGACAGCTGGGAGCAGTCAGAGATCAGCCCACTGCATCTATGAGTCATTCTGAGCCTTGCTGAAAGTCAGGAGGATTTAGGATAATGGTTTCAAATAAATCCAAACGCAGTTTTCAGTTTCACCTGCGTCAGGGATACCAGGTTGCAACCCAACTGCACCTCATTACTGTTCCTCACAAGGAACTGCTGCCGTACCTTTGAGCAGGTGGCTTTGATCCGTCCGACCGGCCTGGCTGGGGCTGACAGTGGCTCACTCCCCATACAGTGAATCAGTATTTCACACCCCAGTCAACATGGTACGTTGAATACAGCATATTACCATGGAACAACTTATAAATCTGTCCTCTGTGAAAATTAACCTGATTCAGAATCTGACTTACATGTGCTGCTTTCCAAACTTACATAGCAATTGTTACAATATTGCTTTTTAAACGAATGTAGGAATACTGTACTGAAAAAATATAGACTGAATCCTGTTGGCTACAAATAGATCTGTTCTCCAGTCATTTTCCCACTTTCCCTGTGCCATTAATGAATTCCGTAGATTTGCAGAACATTCTTGTTTTCTTCATATTCTAAATATGCTTCTTGGAATGTTTTTTGTTGTTGTTATATAAATGGATTTGTAGTTATCTGAATCCATGTGCATAGTCCACTGTTATTTGTATATCTCTTATTTTCATTATCTACTTTTAAACTACACTTTTAATATGCTGTCCATCTCAAATACTGAGGGTCAGAAAAGCATAAAAGTCACTAGAATCAAGTCGGTTTCTACAAGAATTTTAAAATACATTTCAAACAAGCTTCATATGCAAGATAGAAAATAATTTAATTTGACTCCTGTAATTCATGTCCCCTTATGGGGACAGGCCAAATTAATTTTAAATTTAATTTAAACACAAATTAAGTGTAGAGATTACAAGGTTAATAATACTCTCACTGTGTATGGACATTCTAACTTTAATTTAAGATAATTTAGTCCATACCTATTTTTTATCTAAAAACTTTTTCCTTCCAGGTGAAATATCAATTTCTTTGGAAGATGATGAGGATGCTCCAGGGGATCCACTGCTTTTTATGTCACATGTCAGACCAGTTCAACTAGGTATAGTATGACAGTGCAGAAGGGTCAAAAACGAAAAAGCAGCATGGCTGTCAGAGCACTTTCTGATAGCTTGACTACGCCGTCATTCTGTTTCTGATCAACACAGCTTTGAAATAGCCACACTTTTGCACCATATCCTTCTC